ACAGAGGTATCAGAAATTCTCACTATCATCAATCGTATGTCGAACTGCTTTACGACTTCTTCTTGCTCTGGTCGTGTGCTGTTGTTTTCCAAGGTTAGCGGAAATAAAAAGAAGGGATGCCTGTGGCACTTCAGTTCGCATCAGCTTCCGAATCCTGATGAATTGTACGATGCCTATTTGAAATCCTTAGGGCAGGATTGTCATCCAGTTGTGCTAAAATTTGAGCCTTTGATATTGCATGTTCGCTGTCGAAATCTTTCGACTGCGAAGGCGCTGATGGATGCTGGTGTAATTTCTGGTTACAGAAATTCTGGTATAATGATTGGGAAGGGCAACAGAATTACGGTTGCTTTGCGTAGCACCTTGAGTCTTGAGATGCCCCTTACCGATGGCCGCAATCACTGTTATTTTAGTAAAGAATATTTCACATTTCTAACCCATATTATAGCAGATAAGTTTCGGGAGAATGACGAGCAAAGAAACCGTTTAAAAAATGCACTTTTGGACGTTGCTGCTTAGTATAATATGGTTCTGAGCGCAGCTGTTTTCATTAGCAGGATTTAGACTGCAAGACAAGGTTATTACGCTGTTGTTTTACTTTAATCCACAGCGATGCTGTTATTGGTTAGTTTGATTTATTTTGACTGCAGATTGTATTTTGTGTTCAAGGTATAAATGATTTTAAGTTGAACAGTTGTGTTAATCATTTCTCATTGTGTGCATACAGAACACTTCCATTAAAAAATGGTCAGGGCGTAATCGCTGTTATGAATCACGATTTACTTTTGTGGAATTACTGGTTCATACCGTTTATTTTTTGAACAGTGCAGAAGTTCAATTGCTGAAGCTAAGGTGCCATCCTGATATATTCCATAAGTTCTACTTTACAACCCGGTCACAGACGCTGACTGGGTAAACTCAGCGGCTGACTAGCTCTTAATTTAGTTTAACCGTCCCGAAAAGGGAATGGAGCAAAATACTTTTCGCATGTGGACTATTTCAAACGAATGATCAGATATTGTAGTTGGTTCTGCGCAAGTCCGTTGTTCATGTATTAGTTGTACGCAGCAAACTCTCAATCGTTTGTGGGTAACTGTGTTTCACTTGATGGAGTGAAGTACTCCTCATCGAAGTATATATCCTTCCGCATCGGATCATTTATTTTCTATGGGAAATAAATGGTAGACACTTGAGGATTGAAACTAACGTCTTCATGAGCTACATGTCACTGATGGTTACGTCACGAATATTAGCATCATCGGACAAACTACATTGAATCGGTTTGTAAAATTGGCATTTCTCATAAAGATTGGATGCAAACCAAACTGATTATAAATTTTTTTCAGCATTATACTTTTCGCTGTTCTCTAGCGTACACGGGTGACGAATGGGAACATTTTAAGAACCTGCAAATAATTACTTTAGGGGAAGTTGCATTCACGTAGTCATGCCAGAGCCGAATTTATGAACGTTGTTTAGTAAACAAAGGACGCATACGTGGATGCTCAGGATTACGTTGAGCTCAGTTCAAAACCTTTAAATTATAAAATTGAAACCGAAAATTTATAGAATATTTGCATGTGTCTAAACTATGATTATACTCAATGATTAGTTATGATGTTATAGACTATAAGGTATGGATATTTATTGCTTAAACAAGGTCTTTCGCAGCACAAAGGGTATATGTTACAGGCTGTGCCAACAGTGTTATGATAAGCGGTGAAATACTCTTGAAAAAATTTCAGGACGCGCTGCCGTTTGCTAATTCAATAGGAAGACTTAATCAGACTTGAATTCATGAATTTCAGCCTCTACCTCCGTATAAATGTTGCATCATTCCATTAGAAAATTACTTTGCTTATCGTCGGCGTTGCTTTGGCTACCAGTTCTTCGATTACGTCGAAGAAATAAATATCGGTTTCAATAATACTTCTCATTTCTGCATGGCCGTTACTGCTCTAAATCCGAACTTTATGCGCTGTGCATTTTATGATGATTTCTATGAGCTATCACGTGGGCATAGGCGAAATGCAATTGTGGTATACAGCTCTCAGACAGTATGATCCTGTGTCGCTTGAGTACAAGTGAAGACAAGCGTGGCCATGATGTTGTCTTTATTGTTCCCAGGTTAAAAACTTGCTGTCTGTTTCCCTGCTTATTGCATCGAACAAGAAAATGAGATGCTTGCATGCCAGTTAGCGAGAAAATTTTATGCCGCACCAGGAATCGTTTTGTTTTGCACCATTTCGTTACGATTAGATTTCCACGCGATGTTGATAAAAGGTATCCATAAGGAAATAAAACGTAAATATGAACAAAATTGAAAAGCTGTTACTCATTGGCCTATAGCGAGTCAGACAGTCATATTCGACGGGATGCTGTTTAATTTGTAACATTGCTGTACACCTCGAATATTGTACTGTAATAGGTTTATAATATCGCCACTTATAAAGGTATAAGATTTACCGGAATTCCTTAGCAGTTCCAGCCGCAAATAGACCTAAAGACATGTTCCAGGAGACGAGACGATGCAGCTCCTTTTATTGTTATTCGACCATTTACGCCAAAGCAAGGACTGACCCTAGTTAGACACTTCCAATCGTTTGTATCGATGACTAGCACGTTCGGTTCTCCGTTTCGGTCATAGCATACTAACATAGTGACCGACTTTCTACTGGTGAATTCAGAAGTGTCTAGTTCGAATCTCGAAAAATTATAACGCCTTAACCGTTGTTTTTTAAGTAAAGGATTTATCCGACGTTGCTTTCGCACAGATAGTCAAGAAACTGATAACAAGCTTCTGGCCTAGTAACAGTCAGGCAATGCAATTATCTGATGCAATTATAAGGTATCGTATACCGAAGTAGACGATTTCGATGTTCATGCGCAAACAAGGAAGACTACTTCTTTGCAAGTAGTTATGGATCGCGTTCAGCAGAAAATAAAGGCTAGGATGTGCAAACATTGATATCAATTTGACTAGGCTCATACTTCGTCTGACACACTATTAAACTCTAAGCGAGATAGTTGTTTCTTTCAGCAATCTGAGAGTTGAATTGGAGGGACGAAGAGAAAAGCTTCAATTAGCGAAGTGAGACTGCTGTCAAACGATTTCAATCAAAATATCCACTACGTCGACGTACTCAGAAATGCATTACAGTGAATAATAGAGAATCGTTTTACAAGTGAAAGAAAGTTAATATCGCACGCTTTCTGAGGCGAACACCCACTCTGCATCAACAGATCTACAGTTGTCCGATGAAGAGAGAGTAAATGCAAAAGTATAAGGCATTCAGTATAAAACAATTTGAGATGCGAAAATCCATTATGAGTCACATATGGTTGTTATTTGTCATCGTTGTCTAGAGAGCAGCAGCTTGGAATCTCCGTCCATCCCAGTCCAATGATGTCCGACATGCAGCTATGAAGTCCTGCATTTCACTCAGCATTAACTCTTCGATAAAGGAAACGTTTGCGCTTCCTTTCAATTATTTAATATGAGAATGTATTTGTATAACATGTATCGTGAAGCTTTTATAATTTTAACCTATGCATGGTGTCTGGATCCGTTGCGGAGCTATTTGGAAGACTTTATTTCAGTTCTTAAAGACTGACAGCCCAATACTAAATGCTTGGTCAACAGGAAATTCAAATGTAAGAAAATAAATGAGGTTTTTTCTGTTCATCCCAACAAGCAGACATTTATACAAAGTTAAAGGTATGGGTAAACAAGCAGACGGTCTGAAACCTGGAAAAATGTTTGTATTGTATTTACAAACCTTACCTTACCCTTCATATTTACTAGCATTTAAAAACTCTAACGTTCGTTACCATCGGTTCCCTTCGGATCACTTACCGTTCGGATATTCACAGATTTTGCTTTATGTGACTCTTATCCATGCTGTTTTGATAGGCTCATGAAATCGTTTTGTCATTTATCATAAGATATTTTCGCAGACCATCCACTGTCTATTGAAACGCAGCGTGGTATTTCTATAACGCATCAATGATCTGTTCTTTATCCAACGTTTCAAACCAATTTACACTTAAAATTTTATGTTGTTGGAATGACATCGCATATCGCTGATTCAATTTGCACATTCATTTACCTCCCAAATGCCTTTCTTGCTTATGTATATTCATCAAGATTTATCAAGACTGCTCGGCTTTCGCTATTGATTCTTCGATGTTGCCACACGTCAAGCACAATCATACATTGATTCTTTTATGCTGAAACGACACATACAGCGTCCTTCTCTCCACAGCTGGAATTATATGTATTTTTGCCCGCAACATGCGGTGATCGCTTCATGTGTTGAACATAAACGAAAATACAGCAGAAATGTCCTTCAAAATGTGTATCGCTGTGGATCGATCAACTTGTCGATACCAGCTGTATACTTGTCGCAACTGCATTTGGCGTAATAAATGTCCATCACCGTCCCACTATCTGACGGAACCAGGTGCTATCGATGACCAGTTTGCTGGCTTTTGCCATCGTTACCATTTTTTCACCCCTGTTGTTTCGCTCTCCTATTTCAAGCCTTCCGATATGTTTGTCTCCGACTTTCCTCTAGAAAAAATTTTGCACCCAAGCCGCTAGTCACTATTGCATAGGTGGATTTGTTGCTGAGAGTTAATTCGAGTCCCGCCTAGAATTCGTCACCCTCATCGTTGTCGCTGGCCCTAGTGGGTGGGGGAA